ATCATACAACAACGCGCACGACATATACATGTGAGTCAACGTATCTACGTAAATAGAATAAAAAAATAAAAATGGAACAAGTGAAAGACAAAAAAAGATAGAGAAGTTCATGGATGGATCTTACAGCTTCTGAAGCTGATCAACAGAAGATTTCACTATCTTGAAAAATGAAGTTGCCTCACGCGGAGATCTTCGACAAGCTTGATGCCCAGCGGCTGCGCCGGCTACTATTCACACATGTTTATTGGTTTTTCGGAATGCAGTATAATGCTTTTGGTTTCTGCAACCAGTTTAAATACTTCGTTACTCCTCTGTATCTCTCTGCAGCTATTACTTTCAAAATTTAGAAGGGTAGTTGAAACATAATCAGCCCTTCTAGTTTTTTATGAGATGAAAAAAAAAAAGTTGCGTTTAAGGATGATTTATAATTTTTTTTTTTTTTGTAATTGAATAGATAATTTATAGAGAAAGGAAATTGAATGATATGTAAAATATGATATCTTATCTTTTTGACTAAACCAACCAACTAAGCTTAATTCTCATCAATAGTGTATATAAATCTCATTAGAGTCGAGAACTTTAAAGAATTAATACACTCCAATTCAAACTACACCACTAAGCAATTCTTAAGGTTAATATGACTTGTTTGTTTATCTTTCTTGCACTATCGTGTCAAATATGGACAATACTTGCCTATTGCTAAAATCTATGTTTATATTTATTTTTTGAGGACTCATCATAATATTTTGATTTGACATTATATAAGAAATTGAAATAATTTTCAACTTTCCATTAGTTGGATAGAAATAATAGGATACTTTAGTTAAAAAACTATTTGAAGGATTTTCTGATCAATTTGAACATAAGGGATAAATCTTTAGTCCTAAGCACGAGAGTAAAATAATTTAACCCAAATTTTAAGTTAACTTTTAAAAATGATATTTCTGAAATAAGTGTTCAATTTTAAATTTTTTTTTTTGTAAAAATCATAGATTTTTTATAAATAATTACTTCTAATATTTTTTCATTTTTCATAATTTGTGAGCTATATAATTAGGATTCAATGTATAATTTATTAAATTTCATTTAGGAATTTTAGTAATTGAAATAATTTATATCAATTTTTTAAATTATTCTATCATTTTCTTTAATCCAAAAAAATAACAGAGATTTACATATCAAATCAATATACTTGATATATTATGTATACATGAAACATATCACATGTCTTAAATATTGTGAAATACTACTTAATAAAAGGTGATATATATATAATATATATTTTTTTTTTTAGAAAATTTAAGAGGACATATATATATTAAAACATACTTCATAAATTATATAAGTGTAATAGTACTTTGAGAGAAGGGGCCATAGTAGGGGGTTTCCATGAGCCCAATGGCACCTATCCAGATATTTTTCAGGATTTGAAAGAGAAATGCTTAAGAGATTCTTACAATTTTTACCCAATGTCTCACATGAGTATGAGACCGCACACGTGTCTAGCATTTTTGTTTGGAAAAACTATTTAGCATATAGAATGGGATAAATTAAGATTTTGAGTTTGTTTAATTTTTAAGATTGAAGTTGGAATAAGAAATTTTAGTCCAATCCCACGTGACTTTGACCATTTATAAATATTAATATTAATTTTTACATTATTTAGTAAACTTATAAGCAATTTGGCTTGGCTTCTTAAAAATTGTGCTTTTTTAAACTGTATTTTAGATTATGTGGATCTAAAAAAATATACTACTAGATATTTAAAAAAATTCACTAAAAATAAAAGATATAAAATTGAAAACTGAAATTATTTTTAAAACTCAAAACTAAACAGAAAAAAGTTTGTGAAAGGCAACAATTCATCAACACACCAACAACATGTATAAAAAAACATTAAAACACAGCAATACTCTAGCATAACCATAATTTTTACAAAAATTTTGTTTAATGTGAACAACTTACTTACAAATTGAAAATAACACATTTCATTCACTTGCATCCAACTTTCTGCTACTTTCTGTTGGTCTTTCAAATTAAAGATTTTTTCTAACACTCTAATCTTCTGCAGCCTCAATATATGAAATTGAGCAAAGGTGGTTAATGTTGCTCTTCATCATCATCTCAAAGACAACAAACATCACCCGCTAGTATATTGTTGTCCCGTGCAAATGAATCCAACAAGCTTGTTGTTTTGGACCACGTTTTCTTGCGCATAGAACTGTGCAGACCATGTTCTTCCCCATCTGAACCCTTAGTATGACACCACTCTGCTTTCCCACTAAAATATTTTTTTGCAAAGTCTAATGGTATATGCTGCAGAAATCAAACAAAGTTTTCTTACTTGTCTCTAATAGAAAAGGATTCAATTCCACGAGAGTGAAGCGAGAAGAGCTAACAAAACTCTACTCTTAAATGAAGCATCATCTTTAATTGCTCCTCTCTCGTGAATTTGAATCTTTTTCTATTGAACAGTAAGAAACTTTGTTTGATTTCTTGGAGCATATACCATTAGACTTTGCAACGAAATATTTTAGTGGGAAGCAGAGTGGTGTCATACTAGGGTTTCAGATGGGAGAAATGTCTGCACAGTTTTATGGCAAGAAACGTGGTCCAAACACAAGCTTGGTTGGATTTCATTTGCAGGGACAACCAATATACTAGCGGGTGATGTTTGTGTCTTGAGATGATGATGAAGGCAACATTGGACACCTTTGCTCAATGTCATGATATTGAGGGGTGCAGAAGATTGGAACGTGTTAGAAATTGTTAATTTGAAAGACCAACAGAAAGTAGTAGAAAGTTGGATGGGTGAATTTGAAATGTGTTAATTTTGCAATTTGTAAGTAAGTGTGTTCACATTAACAAATTTTTGTGAGAAATTTGGTTATGCTAGTAGTATTGCTGTGTTGTTTTAATGTTTTTTATACATGTTTTGTTGGTGTTTTGATGAATTGGTTTGCCTTGTTCACAAACTTTGTTTATGTTTAGTTTTTGAGTTTTTTAAAATAATTTAGTTTTCAATTTTTTATTCTTTTATTTTAGTTGAATTTTTTTAATATCTTAGTTATATTTTTTCTTAGATCACATTAGTCTAATTACAGTTTACAAGGGCACATGTCAATGTGAATATTCATATTGTGAACGGGCCGGCCCGGGCCCGCCCCGGGCGACGACGAATGGTCGAGCCGCCCACGGGCCGCAGGCCAATTTTACACTCCTATCAATGTGAATGTTAACTTGTCAATGTGAATATTCATATTATCAACAGGCTGGGTTGGGCCTATATTTTTGGCTTGTGGGCCGGCCCGGCCCGAATCGAATTTTTTCGGGCACCCACGAGGATCGACATGAGCCGGACCCCTACACATTGACGATATAAACATTTATATTGACGGTGTGAACATTCACATTAAGGGTATTTTGGTAATTATGTCACCCATAGGACTTATTGAAATATAAGTAAATAATGTGAACTAAATGGAACATAAGTAGATAAAAAGGGTATTTTGGTCTTCTTATTTCAAATTGGACCTAAAGGAATAGTAAAAAAGAATATGGGTTGGATGGAATAAAGCTCTTAGAAAACGGATTTATCAAAAAAACTCCCATTAAGTGTAATAGTACTTTGAGAAAAGGGGCCATAGTAGGGGTTACCATTAGCCCAATGGCCCACCTATCCAGATATTTTAGGATTTGAAAAAGAGAAATGTTAGAGATCTTAAAAATTTTACCAAATGTCTCACATGTGTGTGAGACACACGTGTCTAGCATTTTTGTTTGGAAAAACTATTTAGCATATAGAACTGGGATAAATTAAGATTTTGAGCTTGTTTAATTTTTAGATTGAAGTTGGAATAAGAAATTTTAGTCCAATCCGACGTGACTTGACCATTTATAAAATATTAATATTAATTTTTACATTATTTAGTTAACCTTATAAGCCTATTTGGCTTGGCCTTCTAAAAATTTTACCTTTTTAAACTGTATTTAGATTATGTAGATCTAAAAAAAAAATATACTAAGATATTTAAAAAAATTCACTAAAAATAAAAGATATAAAAAATTGAAAACTGAAATTATTTTTAAAAACTCAAAACTAAACAGAAACAAAGTTAGTGAACAAGGCAAACCAATTCATCAAAACACCAACAAAACATGTATAAAAAACATTAAAACACAGCAATACTACTAGCATAACCATAATTTCTCACAAAAATTTTGTTTAATGTGAACACACTTACTTACAAATTGCAAAATAACACATTTCATTCACCCATCCAACTTTCTGCTACTTTCTGTTGGTCTTTCAAATTAACAGATTTTCTAACACTCCAATCTTCTGCAGCCCTCAATATCATGACATTGAGCAAAGGTGGTTCAATGTTGCTCTTCATCATCATCTCAAAGACACAAACATCACCCGCTAGTATATTGTTGTCCCGTGCAAATGAAATCCAACCAAGCTTGTGTTTTGGACCACGTTTCTTGCCATAGAACTGTGCAGACCATGTTCTCCCATCTGAAACCCTTAGTATGACACCACTCTGCTTCCCACTAAAATATTTCTTTGCAAAGTCTAATGGTATATGCTGCAAGAAATCAAACAAAGTTTCTTACTTGTCTCAATAGAAAAAGGATTCAATTCCACCAGGAGTGAAGCGAGAAGAGCTAACAAAACTCTACTCTTAAATGAAAGCATCATCTTTCAACTTGCTCCTCTCATTAGTACTTGGTTGTTTAGTATAGTTTATTGGGGCTGCTTGTAGTTTTTTCGGGGATAAATTAGACTTTCACTTATATAACTCAAATTTCAATTTATTAGCATCTATAATTTCAATTTGAACAATATTAACCCTTGTTGTCCAAATTGCTGTCACATTTTTCTACATGTACCCCTTGTGTGATGGACACATTAGAATATCATGAGTTTTACCAGTCAATTTGGAAGTAGGCAAGTTTAGGAAACATTGTTCATATTGAAACAAGGACAAAAGTGAAGTTTAGATCAAACTATAGATGTTCAATATTACCTCAGTTATTAGTTTTTACTTACCGCTTCTAACAAAAAAAATAATTTAAATAAGTTGAAAATATGAGTATTGAAAACTGAGGTAAGACACTTTTTAACTTCTATTTTTTGATTATTGGTTATAAGTTTTCAATAAGTTACACCAAACGAACGAAGTTACGGAGCCTATCTATGTCATGTAATGAATAAAGCTATAACACAACTACAAAACTAAGATGGTTCAAGAAAAATTTGATAGATGGCTTACCAAACTCTGTTTGGGTCTAAGATAAGATGGTTGCATATAAACCATGAAGAATGGGTTTTTAGATTCAAAACCCTTGGCTCTCTGACGGGCTCTAAATCTGTGATCAACATTCACTGATTTCCTTCTGTCAGGAACCTGAGATGGTAAGCGTCCCTGGGCAGTATGCATGCCTTGAGTACATTCTTCTGCAACAAAAACAAGATCATCGATGATAGAGATGGACACAGAATTCTAACTTCCAGACTAACTTAGAACAACAAGAAGAAAAGAAAACAAGTAAATTTCTCACTTTTAATTTCTCTCGTCACATCTTCATTTAAATTTGCAAGCTTTCCCTCCTTTGATTGAATGCCTCTTGAATGCAGATTGGAATCATTCTTGGTTTTACATGTTAGATTGGTTCTCATCATTTTCCTCCTCTTGCATGTAGGTGGATCATTTAAGATTTCAACAGAACCATCTTTCTCAAATGTTCCTTGGCAGGTGAGAAAATCATCCAAGATTTCAACAGAATCATCTAACTCAACATCTTCTGTTTCAGGGATTTGGAAATCCCATTTCTGGTTGGTTTGCCCAGATGGGTATTCTATCTCCGAAGCACTCTTATCAAATATTAGGACATGGAAAATGGAATTCCCATTGTATTGGAATACCAAAAAGTGCCCATAGCTTATGGAATAATACTTCATAAACTCTTTCCAACCATTATGTAGCCAAACATGGCCTCTAGAATTTGACAATTCTACTTGCCATACTGCACCACTGGGAACCTTGAGGAATGCAAGTTTTGATAGCTTGAGTTTCTCCCCATATTTTCTCACAAATTTTCCAGGAATCATCTGCCGGGAACATCAAACGAAACATTGCACATATTAATGGCTTTAACACAACAATTTAAATCCAAAGAAAGAACAGAGCTTTGCTCCACAATCTTATATATTGACCACAAAAAATTTCCTCTTTAACTTTCTTTTATTTTTTCAATTTAGAAACCAAAGCCGAAAAGGGTAAATTGACATTAGAATTGCGAATCAATGTTATGCATATATGTACAAGAAGTTGACATTTTCATGGTGGGATGATTTTGCTCCTCTTCATTACATTTCGTACTGTTGCAACATATCATAAAAATTCAACATCAACCCGCCTACAATTACCATATCATTATACTTAAAAAAAAAAAAAAATTCCTTAGTTCATTTTAAATTTGAAATAAATTTTCTTACATTGGCTTTTTCACAAGTACTCTGAGATTTTCTAATAATATTTTCGAATTAGCAGCTTGAATTACAAAAACAAGTTCTGAACCGAAGTGAAGCAGACAAATATAATAACATTTACATTTCATGTTATAATTCAACAAAAACTTCAGCTGTCTTAGCCGATCTCCAACCTTTACTCAAAATTTTATACAAATTTCAATAAAAAATTGAGTAAAAACTTTATTTGATAGGAACCAATAGACAATCTCATAGTTGGAAAATGCCTTAGACCCCCACCATCTCTACTGATTTTTGATTGGTTGAAAACTGTTTGTTTATTTATTTATTTTTTTTTGACCTTGCTCTCACAGCCCCCACGTGGAGGTGGAGGGTGCTGGGGGGTCATCCCCACACTGAGGGTCCCCAATAGTGCTCCTCATAGTTAAGCATAAATTTGTAATTCATTAATGTCAGAGTAATAAATTTGAGAATCACAAAACTTTGGGCCCAGGCGCTATTGCCTGAGTAATGCTAAGTATCTCAAATAATTTACCAAATTTTATTCACGCCATTTAAGAGATTTGATAAAAGGTTTGATAGATTATTTGAGATGTATAACATTTTTCTTGTTGAGCCAGAGATGTTGAGGTTAACAACTAATCATTAAATTTCACCGACAAAAACAAAAGACTTAGTTTTAAATAATGGTATCAATTATATATTGGTATAGTGATACAATTATACACCGGTCAATATCAACTGATATATTATTAAAAAAATATTAAAAATTTAAAATTTTTGTACCTAACCGCTGATATTTAAAAGCTTAGTTGAAAGTTGTTTTGAAGGATTGAAGATCACCTTATACATATATATAAATAGATATATGTACATATAATCTAGTAAGGTGTCATGAATGTGTAGATCCACTAGAGTGGTTTCAATGGATGATTACCAGTTTTTGGTTTTGAACAACTGCAGAGTTTATTATCCTGAAAAATTGCGGGGAACCCTTCGCCGGAGAACTTGATCCAGTGCCGCTTCGTCGCCTACTATTCACCATTTTTGTTGGTTAATCTTTCGAATTTCAGAAAGCCGATAAACGTTTCGCTGAAATAGTGGAAGTGATTTATTTACAGTGTCCTCGATATTGATATTTATGTTGATGAGTAAATTACCCATATGGTCTCAAAAAAATATATCACTTATTACGGGTGTTTTGGAAAGTGCGTTTTTTTATTTTTATTTTTATTCTTTTTCCGTTTTGTTTTTTGGATTTGTTTTTGTATTTTGAAAAACTTTAGATTTCTAGATTTATCTCAATAAGACGTACCGAAAAATTATAATTTAAAACAAATAATAAAAAAAGACAAAGTAATATTTTTTGACTTATTTTCATTTTTAGTGATTTTTTTTGAAAATTTTCCATATTTTTGAAAATTTTCAAAAATATATATACTTTTTAGATTTATCTCGACCAGACGAATTGAAAAAGTAAAAAATTTGACATAATTTTGAAAAAGAAAAATTCAAAGACAAAAAAATTCGAAAAAAATATGTGGGTTTTTTATTTTATTTTATTATTATTACCAAAATGGGTTATTTTATTTTAGAACCCTAACTTTTAATTTGTATTAAAGGAAAATTAGTCTAAGGTCCCTCTCCCATTTTTAGTAATGGAAGAGATCCACAATACTATTTTATAATGTCTAAGGTCCTTCAACCCAACACAGAGAAATTTGACTTCAATATTTTTTGACTTATTTTCATATTTAGTGATTTTTTTTGAAAATTTTCCATATTTTTGAAAATTTTCAAAAATATATATACTTTTTAGATTTATCTCGACCAGACGAATTGAAAAAGTAAAAAATTTGAATAATTTTGAAAAAGAAAAATTCTAAAGACAAAAAAATTCGAAAAAAATATGTGGGTTTTTTATTTTATTTTATTATTATTACCAAAATGGGTTATTTTATTTTAGAACCCTAACTTTTAATTTGTATTAAAGGAAAATTAGTCTAAGGTCCCTCTCCCATTTTTAGTAATGGAAGAGATCCACAATACTATTTTATAATGTCTAAGGTCCTTCAACCCAACACAGAGAAATTTGACTTCTCTCTCTACCAACTTCTCTATTACCGAATCTTGCTCTATCTCTCTCGTCTCTTGAGCAAAACCTCATTGATGAACAAGATCAGAACTTGTGATGCAACTTGAATATTGATTACGGTCCAGCAGTGTAAGGCGGCCGCTCTCAACGACGTCGACAGCAACGACGGTGGTGGAGAAGGCAAAATTGATGACGACGTTCGGAGCTCGATCTATGTCATCTTCATCGTGGCGAACCGTTGAGCCTGCTCCCAAATACCCCATTCTTGGTGTCACTGAAGCTTTTCTCGCAGATCTGAGTCCTAGCAAAGTCAATGTCGGAGTGGTAAGCTACGAGCTATGTTTAACTCCTTTTAATTTTCAGTCCGTGTTCCACTATTTCCCTGCACCATGCTCTTTTACTTAGTTTTGCAACTATATAATTGTCTCACATGTACTTCATTTCCTTGGTTTACATGGTCACAGTACAGACGATGCCCAGTTACATTAATGCCTAGAACGGTGGACCAGATTAGAAGACTATTTCACGACGTGTAGACGAACCTGTAGTTTGGGGATATACTTCATTATCTCTGTTGGAACAATCTTCTGTGTAAATAAAATAAATAGAAACAAAACCAAACAAAATAAATAAATAACGTACAGAATTTATTTATCGAAACTGAATTAAAAATAAAAGACCAAGTCGAGTGTGTGACACTCTGTCCTTAAGACAGATTCGCCCCACTTCGGTGCTAATGGTTGAGTGGCGTCTATCTCCCAGGATACAATGATCTTCACAAATTTGTACAAGCACTTCAAACAAATTTGTACGGCAAACCAAACATGTGTTCTAACTCTCTGAATTTTATTCTAAAACTAAAATGAAGAATAATGCAAAACTAATAAAATCTGGACAGCAAAAGAACTATTTTGAGACTGATTTTTCGGATCTATAACACTACTAGAATGATGGTATTTATAGGCATAACAAGTCCTGTCCGAACAGGTGTGAATCTGTCCAATAGATTCAAATTTGAATTTGAACAGGTACTGTTTGAAAACTAGATCTGACCGTTGCTTTGAACAAATTTTCAAACAATTGGAAAAAGGATCCGTTGGTTAGTTGAACAGTTTCTAAACTATTGGAATACTATTATTAAACTATTTGAATAGTTTAATCAATTTTAGGAAACCACTTAGGAAACCAAAAATAAATTTATATTTAAATTAAATTCCCACAATAATTTTTTATTGAAAAAATTCAAATGAACTTTGTCTAAAAAATTAATGTTAAACCTGAAAACGACGTCAACTTCCCATTCACTCATAAATGGATTTGACGTTCCGTCTTCACCGTGTGACTTGCCATGTGGCAAGGAACACGTCACCTCTTCGGACCCACCTCAAAAGACGTTTGGGGCCCACTTAATTTTGGCCTCAAAGTTGGCCAAAAAAAAACCATATAAAACACCATTTTTCCAACAATCTCCCACATGAATGGAATTTGACAGAGAGAAAATGCAACAACATGATCTATTACAGAGAGTACAGAAATTGGAAATATTCAGCAAAGGATAGGTAGGTTTTGGCTTTGAACCTTCCCTTGTGAGACACTATCGGATTTACTAGCTAACCAGTGAACATGATATCTTGAAATGTTTAGCCGTTTGTGTAAACCAAGACAATAGAACTCATACAGTATATTCCCAGACACAGTTTAGTTCTCACTATTATGTTCATTTTGGCCCTGAACAACTTGGTCTCTCATGAGTGCTTTAGAGAATTATAGCCCTTCACAAATCTCATAGAACCGGCCCAGTTCACACTCACATAGGTGATTCTTATGAAGAGTATCCTGCCATACTCCACTAGTTTACCTAGATATAAGAATCATTAAAATTTTACTTAACCTCAAACGCTGCAGACATCACTATTTCATCAAAAAAAATGGTAGGAGTTAGACTCCCCAGTGATCCTTTTGAGTCATTCACAACTCGGTTGTCCCTTTGAACCTAGATCTTGGGAACTCCAGTCAACTAGGTTGGGTTGCCGTTGTGGTAACTCTTATTTAATAGGCTTAAGTCCCATTCCCCTCGATGAATTCTCAACTAACTCTCTTGCTAACCCTTTGGTTTGTGGATCCGCTATATTGTCTTTAGACTTAACATATTCTATGGAAATAATTCCATTAGAGAGTAGTTGTCTCACGGTGTTATGTCGACGACGAATGTGTCGTGACTTACCGTTATACATATGACTTTGTGCTCTACCTATAGCTGATTGACTATCACAATGTATGCATATAGCAGGCACCAATTTTGGCCATATTGGAATATCTTTAAGGAAGTGGTGAAGCCATTCTGCTTCTTCCCCAGCTTTGTCTAAAGCTATGAATTCAGATTCCATAGTAGACCTAGCAATGCAAGTCTGTTTGGAATATTTCCGAGATATAGCCGCCTCCACCAAGAGTAAAGACATATCCACTGGTGGACTTCGAGTCTCTAGTATTCGATATCCAATTTGCATCACAGTATCCTTCAAGTACTGCTGGATATCTAGTATAATTAAGCCCAATGTTACGAGTAAATCGGAGATATCTTAGAACCCTTATAATTGCTTTCCAGTGTTCTACTCCCGGATTACTCGTATATCTACTTAATTTACTTACTGCATAAGCTATATTTGGGCGAGTGCAGTTCATCAAGTACATTAAGCTTCCAATAATTTGGACATACTCTAATTGAGATATACTTTCCTGTACATTCTTAGATAGAAACAAATTAACATTTACAGATGTTCTAGCAAGATGATCATCATCTTTGCTAAATTTGTCAAGTATTTTCTCAATGTAATGAGATTGTGACAAAGTATATCCTCCTGATGTTTTGGTAATTTTCATACCAAGAATTACATCAGCAATGCCCATGTCTTTTATGTCAAAATGTTTATTCAACATTTTCTTAGTAGTTTTAATCATATCATTATTACTACCTATGATGAGCATATCATCTACATAAAGACATACAATGACATAATATTTGTCTGTGTTTTTAATGTAAACACATTTGTCACACTTATTAATTTTGAATCCATTTGACATCATTGCCTTGTCAAATTTCTCATGCCATTGCTTTGACGCTTGTTTTAAACTATATAATGATTTAACCAATTTACACACTTTCTTTTCTTTTCCTGGAACAGAAAAACCTTTTGGTTGTTTCATGTAAATTTCTTCATTTAACTCACCATTTAAGAAAGCGGTTTTCACATCCATTTGATGAATTTCTAAATTGTATAAAGATGCAATGGCTTCTAGTAACCGGTGAGTATGTGTCAAAGTAATCAAGACCTTCTTTTTGTCTAAAACCTTTGACCACAAGTCTTGCCTTGTATTTGTCAATTGATCCATCCGCTTTTAATTTTCTTTTGAAAACCCACTTGTACCCAAGAGGTTTACAACCTGGTGGCAAATCCACCAATTTCCAAGTGTGATTTTGCAAGATGGATTCAATTTCACTATTGATAGCTTCTTTCCATAAAGGAGCCTCAGGACTGGACATAACCTCTTTAAAAGTTAAAGGTTCATTTTCTAACAAAAATGTTAGAAAATTTGGACCAAAAGATTTTGAGATTCTAGCACGTTTACTACGCCGAGGTTCCTCTTCATCAATTTGATCTAACTCTTTCTCTTGATGATGTTCTTGATCATTACTAGTAATAGCATCAAAAGATCTTTTATTGTTACTAGTCTCTTGTCCAGTATTATTTGGAAATACATGTTCAAAGAAAGATGCATTCCTTGATTCAATAATAGTATTTACATGCATTTTGGAATGTTTTGATTTATGAATCAAAAACCGATATGCACTATTATTCTTGGCATAACCAATGAAAATGCAGTCAATGGTCTTAGGACCTATCTTAGTCTTTTTAGGACTAGGTATAGCTACTTTAGCCAAACACCCCTACACTTTTAAGTATTTGTAGGATGGTACTCTTCCATGCCACAATTCATAAAGTGTTTGATTCAC